TATTTTAAAGTGAGTTTCACAGTTTAACAGAGATAAAGAAGACTAATTTGTTTTGTCAAAGTAATTTAACCTGCCTGTGTGGACTTTGACAAAAAGGAGACAACTATTTAAAGTCCTGGATACAACAGTGGTAACCCTTGGGGTGATTAAAGGAAATTTTTCACTGATATTGTTGTGATAAGAGTGGATAAGAAATATTCCTCTTGGGTTCTAAAGTAACTGAACTAGCCTATGTGGTCTTTTGACAAGGAAAGAGAATTATTTAAAGCTTTAGATACAATGGGGATAAAAAATATTGTACCAAGTATTTTTTGTACATATGTTTGACTTGTTTTGAATATATCATTTTAAAATAAGTGGATTGTGTGCTGTCCATTTGTTGTTCAAAGTTATTATTTGTATATGATAAATCTAATCAAAAACACCTGATGTGTGAAAAAAAGGTGCATCCAAAAAAAGAATTCAGCTTGCAACTTAAAGGAATGAAATCAAAATTGGCAGACAAACTGGTAGCTACACTAGCATTGATAAGAATTTTACAGCAAATATTCATTCATTAGTTAGCCAGGCCACGTTTTTTGCTCAACTTATGATATGATGGTGGGTCGCACCTTTTTTCACACCTGAAGTATTTTTGATTATATATCATGACCTTTTGTCAACACACCAACAAACCACATCAAGTGAGAAAGTGATACTCCATAGTAACCAACATTAGCTTTGGGATCGCAACCCTGTTATTTGGAACAGATCTATACTTTACAGAACCAACCAGATTCTTTAAAATATATGGTGATGGTTTTCCTCTCTAAAATGGTGCTAATAACTTCCTTTACAGTAACACCATGAAAACTAGATTAACAGTTTCTTGTCATCACCCACATGCAGATGATGCTAAATGCTCTTTAATTAGGAGAACTTCATAAAATTTAGCTAAATTGTGCTTAAAAATTGGCAATGAATAAATACTAGCTCTTAGCCACTGAGGTGGTGGACCATGGAGGCTAAGTGTGCTCAATTCCACTCAGTTGAGAGTAGGGCGGTGGTGTTCTACCAGTGTAGATGGTGTATAGATACTCCTACTGTAGGCCTATTGTAATATTCCAAGTGCCACCTAGTTATGGACTGGATGATTTCCACCAAGATGCAGTTCACCCCTCTAGTTTCCTATCATTGCCCGTATGTCAGTTCCTGGGAGGTTCTGGTGTTGGTTGAAGCTGGACCAGCCACATAAGTCTTCACATGGGAGTGGCCGAGGAACCCTCCTCCTACCACAGACTATATGAATTCTTCCTAATGCCACCTCGTTCTAGTCTGGAGTTGGACCACCACATTGCTGTCCACCTTTCTACCATCATCCAAATGTTGGCTCCCAGGCAGTACTGGTGTTGGTTGTGTTGGACACGCACACATGAGGATATGAGTCCTTGGAATGGAAGATCTTCTCCTCTTTCAATTCTCCTGTCAGAGGTGAATAGTAGAGGATCCTCTTCCTACCATGGGCCAGATATTCCTGTCATGGTACTGTTGGTGTTGGTTATGGTTGAATTATCTCTTAGGGTCTGCCACACACTAGTCACTCTGCAACAGGAGTAACTTCTTGTAATGTCTTGGGTCCCTTAAATGATTCTGCCTTTATTGCGACACATCATTTTCATGGGTGAAGAGTATACCTGGCTCAGAAGTCTTTCAGTCTCCCATGGGTATGTCTTACATACATTATATTCACACACCACATGGTTTTTATTTGGGCACTTTTTGAAGGGGCTCATCTGGTGTGGTGGACCATGGAGGCTTCCTCTTGAGTGTGCTCAATTCCACTTGGTTGAGAGTAGGGAAGTGGCATTCTGCCAGTATAGATGGTATATAGATACTTGTCTTACTGTGAACCTGGTGTTCTATTCCATATGTCACCTGGTTATGGACTGGATGATTTCTGCCACAATGCAGTTCACCCCTCCGGCTGGAGACTCTCCTTCCTACTGTCACCCGGATATCAGTTCCCAGGAGTGCTGATGTTGTTTGGAGCTGGACCAACCACATAAGTCCTCACATGTGAGTGGTCCAAGTATGTTCCTACTACTGCGAACTGGACGATTCATTCTCAATGCGACCTGATTCTGGACTGGAGTTAAACTGCCACATTGTTGTCCACCTTCCTACCATCATTGTGATGTCAGTTCCCAGGAGGTACTGCTGTTGATTGTGTTTGACATCCACACCTGATGATGCAGGTCCTTGGAATGGAAGATCTTCCAGTGGTTGACCCTTGTCCTACCATGGGCTAGGTATTCCTATCACAGTACTGTTTGGTGTTGGTTGAGGTTGAACTTCCATCTTATGATTTGCCACACCCTAGCCACTTTACACCAGGGGTCCCTTCATTTAATTTATATGATTCCTCCTGTGATTCCATCCTTATTGTGACACATCAATTTCATGGTTGAAGAGTATACCTGGTTCAGAAGTGGTGCAGTCTCCCACAGATGTGTTTTACATACTTTTTATTCACACACCCCATGGGCTTCCTTTGGGCACTTCATCTAGATAATGTTACACTGATCCATCCACCAGGTCAGTATGGGATTTTAGCTATTATGTAAGAAGAGGTAAGACATCCTATGAGAAGTTAACATTTTCCTACAGTGAAAATGTATTTCTAATAGATTCTTACCTCCTCTCATCCTTCTTCTTCACATCCTGTGTCTTTTCTTTTTATGTAGCTCAATCTTGAAGTGAAGATCTTTCAGTGCAGGAAAATTTTAACTTTTGGCAGGGTAAGAATCCTTAACAGCTAAGACAGCTTAATTTTTCTAACAGGGTGGTTAGCCTTTGAAATGGGTTAATTTTCAGAGATAGGACAGCCTAGATGGACTAAGCGGTCCTTTGTTGTTCTTAAATTATATGTAATGTTTGCAAGAACTTTTGACCATTTTCAAGATCAGTCTTTTATGTATTATTCTGTGGAACTTCTAGAAGCTTACTTGTAAACAACGTACTTTTTTATTTCTTTTTAGAATTATCCTGCCCATCCTAAATCATAGGTTTATATATGCTGAAAAATTATAATCTATAGAGAATATAATCAACTATATGTTGTTTTTTATAATTTCCCTTTTTTTAGTGGTTTTATTACAACAGCTTTTTGTTCCCAAGTTTTATAATGTCACATCATGTAGTCTGAACAATTACTAATGAAGCACAGCTTTGAAAATAGCTACAGGTAGGATTTAAATACAATTGGATAGAGCAGTGTATAACTATTTATGACTATGTAGATAGACTGAAAAAAGTGGTGTGAAAGTAACTCATGATTTTGTATGAAATTGACTACCCAGAGCTACTCTAGGGATGAGCAAAATAATCTTATGAGAAGTTTAGAACTTATGAACAAAGCACAGATCTGGGATTTTTTTTTGTAAGTTTTTTTTTCATTCCTCATAATGTTTTCGTGTTAAAATATATCTATTGAAAACTACAGGAATTTTCTTCTGTGATAAGACATCAGGTAAGCTTAATACAGTATTGAATGACAAAATATTCCAATGTTTAATTTCCTTATTTAATGCATATTATTGTTAAGTTTATTATATTCAAACAATGTATTTAAATAAATTAACAAATTATTTATTGAAAAGAAACCAAGAGTATTGTTTGCAAAAATTATGTAGCCTTACAAATGTAATGCAAGTGAAGTGCATTCTATTTTTCTGAGCTTTCTGAAAACTCTAATGAGGCTTATATTTCTCAAACAAAACCCAATTCTGGTACCTTTCACAAATCTATAAACTTTACCCCACTTATCCTTTTATTACTGTTAGTCTTAGTTTTCTATTAACAATCTAGCTTCCCAGTATTTGAAACTTAACTAAAGTTATTTCATAATTTATAGATTCATTTTTGCATAAATTAATCACTGTATTCCTCTATTAATTACTACCTATACTCTTAATTATAGATATTACTCTGATTAGGAATTGCCCCTGCACACCATACTTATTTGGATGTTGTACCATTTCTTTTCCACCATATAGTTATCACATTTGAACCCTATTCCCAACAAGTAGGGATATCCAGTAGACATTACAGCCCAACAATCATTTTATTTGTCACACATCTCATGTCAGTAGCCCTTTAGACAGTTTTTATGACCTGTCATGATAAGGACTCTGATGGTTTTATTTGTTTTAGGAATTTTGTGCAAAGCTACTCAAGGGTTATTTGCACATAACAAGACTTAACTTTGGATTGGTAAACTAAATTCAACAACACCAACTTTTAACTCTTTGACTACCCTTATCTGAATGAATAGTGGAATCTGACAGTCACTCTTACAGCACACTTATGACTTTAAAGTATGGTATGAGTTTTTGTGGCAATGAGAAACATCAAAGTCAAGTTGCCTGGTTAATTCCTTAAAATGGAACAGAAAATTTCTTCAAGGAATGCCACAGGAAACAGAATGGATGTTGTAGTATCAAACCAATTCAAAATGTAGATTTTCATCAAGAACTTTATGATGATGTATAGGTTTAAAATAACAATATGAGGGAAAAATTAATTTTCATCACCATAGACACATTATAAAACAATTTTCTTTATCTCCCCGTGTTAAGATCATATTTTTAACTCTAGTTTATCACATTTCCACTTTTGTTTCTCTTTGTGTAAATAATTCTGAAGAGAATTGTTATTAGAGGAGACCATATTGTACATTTAAGTACACTGAAGATTGTCATCTGTAGTCTTTCGTGAATTATAAGATAGTTTGTGGTGCAGGAAGTAAATCTGATTGGAAATTGTTCAGTGAATTAGTTACATGTCTGTCTAGTGGCAATTATTTATATAAACTCCAATTCTTTGCTAAAAATGTAGATTTCTTGTGTTGAGCAATCTTTAGTTTGTTTTGATAAAAGTTTTCCTTCATGTAGTTTGTTATGTAGGTGTAAAAAATATAAATGGAAATCAATATTAAAAGACAAAACTTGTAACTTTTACAGTTATGGTTTGGGTTTATTGGAGAGCCATATTTGAAGCGTCTTCAGCCATCTCCAGGCTGGGAACTTTTTGTTACCATGAAAATGAAAGGAAGATATTTTGTTAACTTTATAATTGACTGTAGCATTACTGGCCAGCTATACAAGGTAAGAAAAATGTCTGATATCCTTGAATTTATTTGAGAGCTTTTCTTGCAGGGGAGAAATTTTGATAGTGGTAAAGCTGTAATAATTTAATTTTTTAATAAGTACACTTATAGAACAAATTCAATGTATTTTTTTCCAGTGAAATTTTATGTTTGTTGTTAGGAATATTCTGATGTTTTCATGTGATTTAATAATGATTTAGTTCTTTTTCATCTTTATCCTGGCAATATCGTTAGAACATTTAAAGTGAGAATACTGTTTTTTTTTAAACAAGGTTTAGGTTTACATTCTGAAATTATTAGAGCATGGTTGAAATATTGAAATTAGATGACCTGTGCAAAAAAATCTTTGTTGTCTGTTTCTCTTGAAGGAGCTTTGTAACAAAACTTGTTTTCACAGTGTAATATATCATCAACTTAAACGATTTATTTTTATTAGTTGATAAAGTTAATTACTTCTACACAATGACCACATTTTGTTTTATTGTCTACTAGGGCAAATTATGAACAGTTGAGGGGGGGATGTATATCTTATAAAGAACGTTGAACTATGTATCAATTAATTTAATGTTAATTTAATTATATATATATATATATATATAATTAATGAGTTGGGAAAGCATATTGCCATTGCTTTAATCCTGTTTCTAGATATTAGAAATATAATAACTGCCATATAATGATACCATTTCTTTTGATGTCAGCATTAGAAACTCTTGTCTTTAGTAAAAAGTTCCTTTTAAATCAGGTTGACTTACCTTTTGAATATTGAAAATCTTTCCTTATTGCGTTTTAACTTATGCTGTCAAGAAAAATGACTACAAATATCTGAATATCTTTTATGTATTGCAGAGCATGCATTACTTATTCATAATTCTTCACCTTCTCACCTTCCATGTGACTTATTGTGTGAGTTTCAGGGGATCTTACATAAGCTCTGCTTTCCCACCTAATTTAGATTTTCTTATTCATAGTCGTGGTGTTGACTTTGCTATGACCTTTTTTTTTTGTGATGCACCTGTTTTCACCCCTGTTGGATTTTTTACAACTTTGTTAGAGGCCTTATTCACATAATTTGCCTGAAGTATGCAGGTTAAATTATCAGTTCCATTGTCAGCCCTAATGATCCATTGTATTTTTGCAATTGTATACTGATGTTCCTGGTGGGTATAATGATTGTACGAACACAATCTTTTTCATTATTTAGATCAGAATTACATATCTACTTGGACTTTATTATGTATGGGTCTCACTGCTGTTGTTTCAATTACCATGTGGTTCTTATGTTCCTTTAACACTTTCACCTATTGGATTGTGTTACAAGGTACTTATTTTTTAATCCGCTTACCTCTAAATATAAATATATATTACAAAACAAAAATCAGTAATGGTCTGCCCTTCTGATATGGTACTTTACCTCTTTCTTACATAAATAGCTATTCTTGTTCAGTACTGCCCTCTATATGGAAAAAAGTTTTTGCACATGCCTTAAATCTCCCACATCTGGAATTAACGATTCCAATGTGTCTTGCATGCAAATCATCTTGCAACAACCCTCCACCAATAAGAGTGATGCATGTTTCTCCCCTCTATTCAACTCTACCGAACTATCACTTATTCTTTGGCAGTATTTGTGTTCTAAAGTTGAGTTTGTGCTTTCTTAACGTGTTTTATTTTAATGTTTTTCAGTATCTTTGGTGATACTTGTAACTTGTTGAGTTCTTCAGAAGTGGAATTATTTTATATTTCTACCTGGTTATGGAATTTATTACTTCATTACAAAGACTTTTTCTTTGTTTGTGCCCACACAGTTGTGTTTGATTATTTATTTTGCATTACGAATTCTACATTACCACTTCTGAAGTTATATGTTCTCTTCAGCTTTACTTCGTCTGGAGATTGATCATCCAAGAAGCTGATATTCGTCAGGCCTCGAGTTTGGAGGCTTACACATTTTGACATACAGTCCACTGTCTTTGGAAAGATAATAGTTATATTGTTATGGTTTTTGAATACTTTTAATATTATTATCTGTAGTTATTTGAATTTTATAATATAAGTTTCGTTAATTTTGTCGATACTCATAGTCAAGTTCAGGTTAGAAATTGGCTTAGTTGTATCCTTTCTCCTATACCACTGATACTAGGATTACCTGTAATTCATCTGACTGGGATATCAACAATTCATTTAACTATATTGCTTTTCATTCATACATCACATCTTATACATAGGTTATTGTTCATACACACTTATTTCATTTTATAAATTTTCATTTTCGTTATTATACTTATTGTAATGTTAAAATTTTTATTTTAAAGCTTAATGATATCCTTTGTCCTGCACTGTTTGATTAGACTTAACATGTATCATTTATTTTCAGTTTATTTGTAGTTCTACTTGTGTCTGTTAATTTCTTACAATTCATTTCATTTCCTTTATACATTTTACCCTTAATTTCGTTTATGTGAGCCCCTGTGGGCTGGGGTCTACCCTACCTGCTCCCAATATTACTTGTGTTCCTCCTATAATGGCTGAATACATTTCAGATGGCCCAGATTTTCAGTTTCCCACCACCTTATCATAGATTGCATTCCAGGCATCTACTGCAAAATCTGCTTGACCTATCTCAGTTTTTGTGTGTATGTGTGTGTGTGTTAGACACGTTTCACAGTATATTCCCTTCTCCTGACATTGTTTCTGTATGATCTTTTTTGTCTCTTTTGTTTTGTAACTTATCAAAATCCGAGATGCTAGTCTCGACTTTCACAACTCCATCTGTGCCTTCACTTCGTCATCTCTGCCTTCACCAGCTCTCAAGGATAAATTGAAATCAATATAAATGTCCTAATATTGTTATTATAAAACCCACTTTAATTAAAAGTAATTAGCCCACTTTAGTTAAAAATACACTTCACGAGTGAGGCAAAGAGGGGCAGGAATTTGCTGTTTCTGATAAAAGAAACGACAAGTTTTTCCCTCCATAACATTCGTATGATTACTATGTTGTTGTCATTATGTCTACTTCAATATCCCAGCAGTAGACAGAGATTATCAAATAACATATGCTACTTATGTTGTTTGTGTTTGATTTTATTCGTGGCAGCTGTGTTTAGTTGTCAGAGGAAAGAATCTTTCCTCAACTGGAGTGTAACTCGGGGATAATTAGTATGCCTTGTTTATAGTCCATATACATAATGACTTCCTATCCAGTGTATGAGTCTACTAACAAAAGAATCAAAGACGTCTTGACGTGTAACCTTCTTTGCAGATTTCTTGGAATAGGAAAACATACAATACCTGTCATGAATTAATTCATAGATCCAGATATTTTACTGAACAAGACACATGATATGGGTTACCATGGGTGTAACATTTTGTTATGTGAACAGTATCCGAACTCTTGAGAATTATCGAGATTATATAATTCGATGAATTACTAAGTGGCTTTGAAGATAGTAAGGAATGTTAAAATAATGCTTGATAGATATTTTATACAACAACTTGTTTCATCATTTGAAACTGTTACGATGATTAACAGTGTTATTAACAGTACTTGCCCATATTATAAACTGGTTTCATACTTCCAACCTTTTGTTATTTTCACTAAGTCTATGTCGTTTCACCTTGTATGCTGATGTATAGGTTTGATGTGAAGTAAACGTGAGTTACACATCAGCTTATACACTTGTTAAAACCAAAATGTAAATAAATATGGCCGAATAATATGTCGGCCAAGACTGTAAAAAGGTATATGAAGTGTTCGACTCTTGTAGCGTCATTGAGCTGTTCTTATGAAAATACTTACCCTCAACATATGACATATATTTCAACAATTATTAGACAAAATACTATACCAAGTAGTTAAAGAAAGTTGTTTAATTATATTGTAATTAAAAAGAGACAAAAATGATACATAATGAACACATTATATCGATTATATTGTATCAAAGAAGACTCGCGTATATATATATTATTATGTCACACGTGGCACACATCTTGCAACAATATATAGTAAACATCAATGTGGTGGTGAGTTTGAACTGCAGCTTCTACAAAGTAAAGCTTATAGCCAATATCAACCTCAAATTTACATGTGAGGGTAGGGAAATATTCAAAAACACATAATTAATATCAAATTTTGTTGTTTTAACTGTTTTCACAACCTATTTTGACTGTTCTCTTCATGTAACAGCAATTATTTCCATGTTTCCCTAGCTGCCAAAACACCATGTCAGCGATTCATATAGTTAATTATTGTTTACTGTACTTTAACTGGCTCACAATGATTGCCACGATTTCAGTTAAAGGTACCCCCCACACACACACACATCATTTGTCAAGAGCCATTTGGTGGAGGAATGGGAGGAGTTTTATTGACTGCCATTTAGTACTTTCTCGGAATGCATAGACTGAGCTGCAGGAGGAAACTCAACCATATGGTTCTCCTCTTCAGATCTTGAACTAATTCCAATGGGTGACTTGCATGTATCATTTGTTTCAAAGTATGTTTATTTATGACACTATGTAATTGTTGTGTGATACATTGTCCTTGCTCTGCAGTAGCATCTGTTGGAAATCCTGTCTTTTGAGATTGAGTGCTTGCAAGCCTTGCCATATACAGGCTTGAATTCTTTTTGCCTTAGCTTACCCTCAGGCAGATTTGTTTCTTGGTTTTACGTCCTTCAGATCTATGTTAATCCCTTCCATTTTCTCCCCTACCTAGTTTCTCAGTTTTGTTTTACCTTATCTACTCTCCTATGGGTAATGTTTACCTTCCACTTCATTTCTTTGGTGTTCCAAAGAAACACTATATATTCTATATTCTGTATTTAAGAATTTTCTTGGATTACCTTCTCCTCATTTCCTCCATGTTGGGAGTTTGCCATCTTCCGTTCTTTCCCTCCACATGTTGCTTCTTTCCTTTAGAGAACTTCTAGGGTGGGACACTGCTGTTTGTTTCCCATCCGTGGTTAATAGGGAATTACAATCAGATTTTTTCTC